AGAGTGACAAATAAATACATAAATATAAACAAATGAGACAATCCATTTAGGTAGGTGAAAAAATTGTCCAAGACCCACATCATCATGTCACAAAGAGAGATACACAACTTCACGCGCCTTCTCCTATCGATATGTGATTGTTATGCTTCTCTTTTATTTTGGGTCTTAGACTTATCCGGAGATGACACACTTTGGACCCTTGAAAATGATACTGTCTTGACTGCTCATTTCTAACTTTGAAGTTGTAACGCAGCTCAATGGGTTGGCTCTTTCTTTGGCTGCACCATCCATTTAGAATCATCACTTTCAGAGAATACAGAAAGGGATCTATTAGTCTTTGGCAGTTTCTTCACGGATTTCTTAAATCTTCGGTTAAAGAAATTAACGGAATGGATTCTCTCTACTTTTCTATTTCCAGTGGGTTCTCCTGTGGGTTCTGTAAAAAAATCAGCAATGATGATCTCATAATGACGTCAGATTATGTCACTGCCACAATCAAGAAATGCTGGAAATGATGAATACATAATTATGTGTAATTTTAGTGGCCGTATGACAATGAAGTTAAAAGCTTTCAACATTTTCTTTGTTTTGTGTTTATTAAGTTTTGGGTTGTCAGGGGCTGAAATTAGCCTGCTGTGATGGCGAAGGAGTCTATATTTTTCTCAATGGACTGATTAAAACTCGAAATTCATTTCTTTTTATTATTTTGACTTTTAATATCGTTCTCAGCATATGTTCTGAAGGTCTGAAAAAATTCGACAGTTCTTGGGGTTCACCTCCTAAATTACAAAAAAAAAACTTGGCGAATTGAGCTTAGAGGATTGAACCCGATCTCTTTTTTTCATTATGAACTTACTGGTCGCATTCCATTCGTGTACATTAATGAAATATTTCAAATAGTTGCTATTTTACTGTAGACCACCTATTTCGAGGTCAGAGATCTTTTCCAGTCGAGCAAATCACTACAACTCAATAGCAGCGAGGTGGATGGGTAGTAAGGATATATATGGGACACAGGCGGATGGATCATAATAAAAGGCTCTATTCGATTTGATTTGATTGATTTACTTACTGACTAATTGATTGATTGATTGATTTATTGGTTTAATTATCATATCTATTTTATTGTTTTTTTTTTTAAGTTTTCTGTTTCAGTTTTAATTCTAGTGAATGTTTATTAACATTTTACTCTTTCTTAATATTTATTATAAGTTTGTAATTTTTAGATTTACTCTTGTTTCGACGTACCACTGAAAAGCCCTCTTCAGGGAGTGTCGATAAAGTTTGTATTGTATTGTGTGGTATTGCTGATTGATTGATTGATTGATTGGTCGGTTGATGATTGATTGATTGACCGATTGATGCAATATTCAATGTCCGCTACTACCGTAGAGTTCCGATGGTAGCGACTCTCGTTACTTTCGGAATTACCAGCCTTTGGTGGTCGCTACTTTCGGGGGGTCGTTACTACCAGAACTTTACGGTAACGTTTGATTGCTGTCCCCACCTTTCCTCTGGGCTTTCTGCCATGACCGAGTAGGTGAGTAAGGTCGTAACGTAGTTCACTTTATACAACATTAACCTCGGGGAGGAAATTGAGATTCGCCAATATTAAAAGTGTAAATGTGAAACAAAAGAAGACAGGTAGAAATTATCTTAGTAATTTGATTGTTTCTTTTAATACCAATGGAAGGTTACAATCTCATTACAGCTTAATAAATATTATATTAAATAATATAACCGCCTTAATTACCATTTGTGGTGACAACAGCGTCTATAGCATTGATTTCTAATAACAATAATCAAATATTAATAAATTATTTAAGTGAAACCATGTTCTAAGTAAATACATTTTTAAAATACGCAACAAACCCAAAACGTCCACAGTCGACAGAAAAATGCAGTCTGTGAACATACCCTCTGGTGGGTTACAGGATGAATTAAATAAACGAGAAAGCGCGATCGGGGAAGAGTGCAAAGAGGACTAAAGAGGAAGAAAGGGTGTCCTTCACCGCCGTGTTCCTTCGGCAGGCCGTTGACAGTCTACTGCAAATGTTAGTGGATCATCCCTATCCTTAAAGAAATACACTCTTTTAATTTCTTTACAACCCTCTGCACATATCACGGTGGGCACAACTGTTTCGCGGTCTATCAATTTGAGTTGGTATCTCTCTACACATGGGTTCGGTGTGGTGTTCCTCTTGAATCGGACTGCCTTATTCTGGCGTTTAGATGTTGCTCTTCGTCCTAGCGATCTGCTTGTTCCGTCTGAGTGCAAAGCATTCTCGTCTCTATTGTCACTAACTGCCATGTCATCTTTTTCTTCTGGGGCAATAACGAGCAAACCAGACTTCTCTTCAGCAGAGCCTTCAGAGATGCTTTGTTCCGTAGGGTTTATGTCATGACGAATTAGCAAGGTTGGAATTGTCGGTTTGCTTTCTGCTGAATTTCTATACAACGAGAAAACCAGTAGAAGAACAGCTGAGGTGGTGTAAATAACACTTTTCTAAGGGAGAAGAAAATTAAAAAGTCATTCGATAAGTACAAGCTTCCCCAATATGACCATTATGTAAATAAGTGAAACAATATACATCAAAACAACAAGCCAACAAACATGAAGAGAGAGAAAAATGAAGTTACCAACTGAGCTAACAGGTTTAAAAACTTGGAGTTTTGAACTCTGGCCCTTTCTCAGAGCGACTTAAAGCTAGGGATTTTGGGTCTGTGTGGTTTATAGTTATCGAATGGTGGTAACATAAGAAACAAACAAACAAACAAAAAATAGCTGAATGAAAAGAGACCCTGTCGCAGTTCATGATTTCTGCTTGAAGTAGTGCTAAGTTTGATGAAGACGCTCTGGAATATATTTTTTGTTGTTGTTTAATTTTTTTTGTGCAATATTTCTTGCCAATATTTTGCAAAACTCAGGGAATCGAAGATAAACGACTTAGTGCTCGAGGGGCCATTCGAGAGGTGATGAGTGTAGTGCTGTCATACTGCAAAATAGTTTAGACGGACGACTAGCTCCTGCAAAGGTAGTCGTCTGCTTATATTAATTGCTTCTCTTTTTACAGAATTTTTGAAGGAAGGGAAAGCCCAATCACAATAAACGCGAAGCAAGGAAAAATATTTTTTTGACTTTGCCCTGAATCATCAATTTGCACTTACCTTTGTTTCGCAAAATGCCATTTTAGTGAATTAACCCGTCAGGCTAGTCGAGGTAGTTCTGTTGCCTTAAAAACTCGAATATACTCAGAAGTGTTCTGTGTTCTTTCAACTCTCTGAATTTGACAGTCCAGAAAATTTGACTTTCTTTTATAGCTACACCGGGAACCTTGAACACCACTCGACTATTACTCCAAGACATTTTTAGCCAATTACGCCTTTCGTCCAGTTTAGTAGTTCAGATTTTCTAATGAAAGAAACTCTTTCCAGTTGATCCTCATGGATGGGAGTTATCTTCCTCTACTTATGCAGAATGCGGATCTGAGTTGGAGCAAGTCATTGTTCTGTGTTCTATTTTCGATACCATTTGCACTTTCTTTAAATAAAGCTTTTCATCCTCTTTAATGCAGCTCACGTGGTAAGGCATCCTTCTTGTTTAATTGAGGAACTTACTGCATCACTTGGCTGCAAGAATCAGTTTCTTGCGCCCAAATTGTATAATTAACCTCACAGCGCATACAGAATGTTGATGAATTCACCGTCATATGGACATCAGGGGACATCAGGTGACATCACTTTTCTACGGTTCTTGAATTCTCCGCTTTTTGCTGGAGAGGTGTAAACGCTTTTTTTTTTTTTATTTTCCTTGAAACAAACAAACAACCAAAACTAAAAAATGAATAGATAATAACAACAATAATGAGCTTATTTCTTCATATATTCTTGGACATTTTACAGGGTCATTTGGTATCCGTCATAACGGACTCTAAAAAGTAAAGCGGAATAACACTTTTATTCTTCCTTCAAGTAAGTTTTGAGGGTCGGACTAGAAACAAGAACTTCCTTTTACGACATAGATCGTCAAAATATATCTGGCTTCCGTAAAACGTAGCAAGAGGCGTGGCGAGGGAGGGAGGGGGGGGGAGCGGGGGAGGAGGGTGAGGATGCAGGCGGCGATCCAGCTAAAATGCCGATACTATCAACTGCCGATACTCTGAGTCAGTTAAGGTTGAATGACATTTCACGAATGAATGTGAAAAGAGCGACAAATAAATTCATAAATATAAACAAATGAGACAATCCATTAAGGTAGGTGAAAAATTGTTCAAGACCCACATTATCATGTCACCAAGAGAGATTACTCTCCCTCTCTCTTCGTGGAAAAAAAAAAATCCCCTTCCTTTCATCACTCCGGTCTAAATATAGCAACATGCCTCAACTTCCGGTCGTGTACTTTATTTACTGCTTGCGGTGATAAAGGGTTACCCATGCATGCTGAATGGTTAATTTGCAGTTCCTGTACCTTCACTTCTGAACCACAGTCAACAGAAAACCTGATACCACTTTAAATTTTGTGGACTAACTGGGCATAATGACGACATTAACACAGAGGTTCTTAAGTAGTGCCAAACGAAAATGGATTATATACTAAAAAGGGAACAATCTTTATCAACACACTGAGCTGTGATATTCTATCAGGGTGATAAGGACAAATGACAATGCAGAATTTGAAAGTTTCAGTGTAAATTGATTGAAATAGAGCACCTCCGTTAAAATGGGTAATCCTTGCAAGCCTCCGTCCATTTGTGACATGAATGATCAGACACATATGCGCTTTTACTGACAACACTGCGGTAGTGCAGCTTATATCGAGAAACAACAGCAAATAAGTCAAGTGGAACAGAACTTGAATTTGTTGCCAATGTGAATGCACTGAGCATCAGCAATGATGAAATTGTACGTTACAGATTCTAATAGGCTGTATCGTAAGGAGGCTTAACAATAAGAAAACGAATTTAGACCAAAACTTAGCAACAATATATGTCAAAGAGAAAACATTCTTCTGTTTAATTTCACTTTGTTACTAGTGCTTATTTCCTCTGTATTTATTCCCTAGAACCAAATCACAAACTAACTATGACAGCTCTGGATTCCGTGAAATCCGACACGCAAAAAAAAAAAATGATATCTAATTTTGAATTCGATACTATTGCTGGTTCTTTACGCTGTTAACCAATAATGAACGTAACCAAAATCACCGTTT